GTTCTGGTAAATCCATGCAACTTTTTTCATGCATGTACACAATTAGGGTTTAGGGTTTATGTTTAAGTGATTATTACTCTAAATCCCAACCATTTTTATATGTCCTAATTGGATTTTTTTTTTTTTGTTTTGTTTGTTTGTTTTTGTTTTAATCAAGTGATAAAATGGAAGAATACCAACTCAAAATGAAGGCTTTAGCTGATAAGCTAATAAGCTTAATCTTCAAGTTTCTTGGCATCTCGGATGAAGAGATGGTGAAGAAGTTGTCTTACATCGACCCGGCCACCGGAAAACCCCACTTGGCTTTGCGCTTGAACTCGTTTCCTCCATGCCCTGAACCAAGCAAAGTCATTGGCCTCGCGGCCCACACTGACACCTCCCTCTTCACCATGCTTCACCAGGCACGCAGAGAGGGGCTACAGATCTTGAACGAGAAAGATGGCTGGCTTCCGCTGGCTCCAAGGAGCGACGCTCTCATTATTAACATCGGCGATTTCCTCCAAATTATATCGAACGGGCGGTTTCATAGCGTTCCTCACCGGGTGATGATACGAGAGACTGAGAAGACTACGATGTCGATGGCATATTTCTTTCATCCACCAGGTCATTTATACGTAGCACCTTATTGTAAGCCATTGAGTGAAACTCTACAGACTCCCATTTATAAAGGAGTGAACGTGAAAGAATATTTCATCATCAAGGCTAAAGCCTCGGGGAAGGGAATTGCTGCCCTAACAATATGATGTTTCATATTGAAAACCTCTTGTTTGCTTCACTTTCAGAAGGGTTTCCAAAAATAAGTTGTTAAACTGTTCATGTGGGGGCAGCTTTTAAATGGTTTAGTTTGATGATCATACACAGCCATGCAATAAATATGGAAACTTGCATGTAATATTCTCGTCGGTGTGTGTGTTTGTTTTAATTTCTTTTTTTTAATTTTCTGTCAGTTCCATGCATGTTCAAATCCCTTCTCTCTAACAGCCAGCAACCATTCAATTCTAACCAATTTATATCATCTCACTTTTGAAAATTTTTTTTTGAAAATTTTTTTTTTGAAAGTTTTTTGAAATTTTTGGAATTTATAGATTTTAGTATATTTGTGACACTCGCGTAAATAAGAGGTACATGAATGAACCAACACCATATTCGAAGTGAGCGATCCTAAAGATATGATGAGTAAAAAATGCTTAAAAGAATTTAAAGTTACTACTTATAGCAACAAGGTGCACCTTTCTTTTCCGTGACTCATTCGTAGAACTTCAAGGTTGAGTGTGCTTTTGATAGGGAATCAGCCCAAGGGAAAGCTCTAATGCCAAATGATAAGGAAATTGGCCCAAGGGAAAGCTCTTATACCAAATGATAAGAAATCACTACAAGGGAAGTAAGATTCAGATTACCTTGTTGATCGAATATCTCAAGGCAAGAACACTTGTTTGACATTTGAATCACTGCACAATCAATATTGATCATGTCAAGCTTGAATGATTCTACATGTAACCTAAACTACATAGAATTGCATAAAAAATGTAGTCATTGGTGGTGGGAAAGCACAAAAGATCTTTTACTACATTTTTCCAAGTATATCTTACAAAGTTAACATATGGCTTTATAGCCTCAAGAGTGGTAAAATTCATAATTTAGGACTATAATTAGCCACTATAATGTAACCTTAGAGTAAATAAGAAATCTTAAAATACATTAATGAAATACAATCACTCTAAATTACTCGACATTGTAATCTACCAAAAATTTATAACAATGAAGTTTCAATATCCTTCTTCAATGTGGTGTGAATTGAAATGTCGTTTGATAATTTCAACAACATTTTCTTCACATCTTCGTTAAAGTATATTGTATGATTGATATCTCTTGATTATATAAACTTTACTTGAAGCAATTTTATGTTGGGTGATCTTTTGGAAATTTTTCTAAGATTTATGTAAGTTAGGACAAAATATGCTTAAAAAATCTATCTGTGTGGATAGTCTTCACTCTAAAAAAGGGAATGTATGTCGTATCTGAATTCTAAATCCTGATCCGTAGCCTGGGCATGGGTCATAACAAATGTTATTAAAGTGATACCTCTCTCACTAAAATGTGGTTTGGAGATAAACTAAGGCAGAAGCTGATAGATATGAGTCACTAGGATGCACGTAACAATCCATTAGTCCAATAACTTAGTTTGTAACCAATTTTATAACACTTTAAGTATTTATATTTTAAAATTTATAACAATTAAGTCCTTATAGCCAATTTTATAACTCTTTTGTATTTATATTTTAAAATTTATAACAATGAAGTCCTTATCATGAAAATTATGGTTGAAATAAAATGAGATCTCTTATACGTGTAGATCGATAAATTGATTATACATTAAATGTGTTCTTAAACTCCAAAGATTGTAATCACGTGTAAAGATTGTCGCATAATATTAATAGATTATTATTTTTTTTTTAAAAAAAGGGACAAAATGGTTTTACATTTTAAACATAGGGATTAAATGGTTAATGCATAAATTAAAAAAATCATTACAAACTTGAAGATTAATTTGGCATAAAAACTCAGATTTAGTGATTAAATTATTAATTTTATAAAGACAGACAAAGGTGATGAGGTTAATTCAAGCTGTACCCTAAATTAAAAACTAGCCACCAAAATTGGGGAGTGGAAACTCAAAAGTATATGTCCGCCAAAGCTTATTTTAATACTAAAAATTAACCTTCCCTAGAAAACATTCTTATTATAAAATATGGAATTTCAATAGACTCTTAATTGACTACCAAATAAGATTATGTTATTTTAAGACACTATTAAATCGAGTATAAACAAAAATGATTCTCGAAATCTCTTCAAAATCATCCTTTAGCGTTCGGTTTCTGTAATTAAACATTAATTTTTTTATAATTACAAAGCCTAGAGAGTAAAATATGAAAAAATGATTAAATTTTTGTAACATAATCTTGAATTAATCTATTAGTAATGCTTTACTAATTTTATGTCTAATATTAAACTATATTATAAGTTGCTAATATTTAATATGATGCTCAAAAGTAAGATGAAAGAGTTCAAAAGTATTCTCTGACTTTGGGGAACAAGATCAACATAGTAAGCATTGTCGTAATCATATTACGAGGCTTCTCTTCTAATCTTCAATTACTTTGCAATATTTTTTAAAAAAGCGTGCATCGATATGTGTTTTAATCCTATCCAAAAGGTTCTATCCCTTTAAGCGTTAGATTCTCATGCAAATGCTCTATTCCATGAAAAGTAATAAAAATGTGCAAACATACGCATACATGATAGTACATATCCTTCTTAAAACATCATAGCATGACCTTGAGATCTTTTCAGTCTAGGTGGGGTTGAACATGTGATACTTCCCCACACATGGCTCACGCACGTGCACATGAACCCACGAGACGAGCAGACCACATAAGAAAAGACTTACATGATATCATGACAAACATAAATATCAAAGCTACGCGTCCAATTTAATATAACATAACATGGAAATATCCTAATACACATGACACTCATAAATGCATGAGATGCTCATGACTTTTAATCACAACATTTAATAAGAAACAATTCGTTCTTCCTTTTATGTCATAATAAACATACAAATAGTAAATATTCGATCAGTATGGCAACCCTAAAGGGTGAATAGGGTTTTAAAAATAAAAATATTTAAACGTGATTAATTTTTCTAATTATGATTTTTTTTTTAATAACTAGAATATCATAATTAATACAATAAAATAGCTCAAAAAAATATCAATAAACAATTATAAAAAAAAAATTTAAACATGTAATAAATCTCCATAAGAATTTCGAATTTAAATAGGAAAGAGTTAGAGTTAGAAAATATAACACGGTGGTTTTATAGTGGTTGGTCAAACTCAACGTATTCCACTGAAGTGCCTCTTGGGAATTTAAATAAACTTTTCTCAACTCTTTTCTCGGAATCCAATTGCTACACCCCTCCTTTTACGAGTTCAAGAGAAAATTCAATTCTTTTCACGGTTTAGGATCAAACCGATACGAGTGTCTAAACTTTTGTAGTAACACACCACAACTCTAGAAAAGAGTAGATTTACAATTTCTACTCTTTCCTAACAAAAATAGATTTACCACAATTTCTACTCTTTCCTAAAAAGTAGATTAACACCATCTCTACTCTTTCTAGATTCACAATTTCTCTCTATATCTACGGTTTCCTAAAATGTACCCAAAAGTAAAGAGTAAATTTAAAATTTCTACTCTTTTATAAGAGTCTTTTATAAGAGAGTAAAGAATAGATTTTCAGTTTCTATTACGTGGAGTAAATGGTAGATTAACAATTTTTCTCAAAGATCGTAATTTCTCTCTAAACGAGTGGATTCACAATTTCTCTATTACCGAGTAGATTCACAATTTGATTCACAGTTTCTCTCTAAACAAGTAGATTCACAATTTAGTTCACAACTTCTCTCTAAACTAGTAACTTCGCAATTTGATTAACAATTTCTCTCTACAAGATTAGACTCACAACTTTGATTCCTAATTTCTGAAAAGAGTAGATTGACAATTTCAACTCTTCCCTACACGAGTAATTCACAATTTCTACTATTTCCTAGAAATGTAGATTCACAATTTCTACTTTTTCTTTAATTTCTTTCGTTCACAATTTCTACTCTTTATTAAAATAGTTGATTTAAATTTCTCTCTATTTCTAGGAAATAGTAAGTAAATAGTAGATTTACAATTTTACTTTTCTTTTTAGTTCTTCTCTTTCAGTAGATTTACCATGTTCTCTTGAGAGAGTAAAGAGTGATTTACAATTTATACTCTTCCCTAACCGAGTAAAGAGTAGATTCATAATAATTTATACTCTTCCCCTATTCTTTTCCTAAAAGATACTCTTTCCTAGAAGAATAAAGAGTAGATTTACCATCTCTATTATTTCTAAAGGAGTAGAGAATAGATTCATAATTTCTTCTAAACCAGTAGATTCACAATTTGATCCCTCGCAACTATTTAACCGAGAGTAAGAATGGAGGCTTTAGAAAAATTTAACCGAGGGTAAGAATGGAGGCTTTAGAAAAATTTAACCAAGAGTAAGAATGGAGGCTTTAGAAAAATTTAACCGAGGGTAAGAATGGAGGCTTTAGAAAAATTTAACCAAGAGTAAGAATGGAGGCTTTAGAAAAATTTAGATGGCAAATAATAGAAATTATGTTTGGTGTTGCTAAAAATATGGAGAAGAGATGAGTTTAAACGGTGAAGAGGTGGCAGAAATAGGAATTTATATATATATATATATATATAATATTAAAACATTCAAATTCGTTTTTATTATTTATATATACATATTTAAATATAATAATATAATAATAAAAAATATTAATAAAAATAATATGAGTAATAGTTTATTTTTATAATTCAAATAATTTTATTTCTATTTAAAAGTAATAGAAAACTCCACCCTTTGTTATTCATCCAAACTTATAAGTGTCATACTTTGATTAGTCCATGATGTCAATTTTAGGCCACATCATCATATATCTTGTTTTGATTGAAACTTATTTGTTTTAGCTCTAATTTGAGTGGTTGAAAAAGACTTTTGGAATCGTTATTCCCAACCTTACACTTTGGACAATTCAAAATATTTATAATTGTTAATAATTAAGTGTAGGTTTGTTATCATCAAAATGTCAATTAATTAATTAAAATTAATTAATTTGGGATTAAGGGCCAAAAACACAATAGTATATGCATAATACTAGTCATAGCTTTCATCATGCATTATCATTAGTGTAATATAAATCTACACAACAGCTTCACATGACATGACATAGCATGACATAATAGGGCATCGCATAACATACCTAACATAACATCATAGGACTATAGACCATTCTATGTGTTTGTCGACCGTAGACCACGACGATGCTAATTATGGCTAGGGACGCAAAGTTACCATGCGCCAGCAAAGTTCACGAAAAGGGTTTTCATGTGGAAGTTATGTCCTCTCTCAAGGGCGTTGCACTACTAAGCATGGAAAAGAGTTTGGTAATTGAGGGAACATGTGAGTTAGATACCTTGCGTGATCTTCATTGCTCGTCGGAAATGTCACGTTTTGAACGATACCTAATTCAATGCATCCAAGACATATCAATTATAAAAAAAGACCTAAACTACCTTCCATAACAATCCATTCTTATCCTATTTCTATCTTATTTGCAATAACATTAATCTCCTCTAAACATGCAATTTAAATTACTCTCTTTGTTTCTTACTTTAAAAAAGCAACAATCCTTCCATAAATGGTGAGCTTGATTTATTACTTCTTTTTAAGTTTATAAATTAAACATTAAAAAAAAAAAAAGCAACGATCCTTCCATAAATGGTGAGCTTGATTTACTACTTTTTAAGTTTATAAATTGAAGCTGGAAGTAAGCTTAGTATTTCAATATACCTTGATCTTAATCTCATTGGCTTTTTGTGTGCAGCTACCTAAATATGGATAAGCTTCCTGCCGTAGGACTTTTGACTCCTCTGGACCTCAACACAGTTGAGGATGTTCCTGAATCTCACGTATGGCCTCACCTCGATGAATCATCGCAGAAGTTCGAATCGGACAAAACGGTCTCGATCCCGGTTGTCGATTTTAACGATGACAATGTGTTGGAGCTCATAGGGAAAGCCTGCGAGGAGTGGGGAATGTTTCAGTTGATTAATCATGGTATCCCGAAAACCCTAACAGCCGAAACCGAGGAGGTGGCTCGATGTCTTTTCGCTCTTCCACAAAACCAAAAGATGAAGGCATTAAATGTTCCCGGAACTGCCAACGGCTACTGCATGGCCAGATTAACGAAGCATCATGACAAAATGATGTGGCATGAAGGATTCACCGTCATAGGTTCTCCGGTTGATGATTTTAAGAAACTCTGGCCATCGGACTACCAACGGTTCTGGTAAATCCATGCAACTTTTTTCATGCATGTACACAATTAGGGTTTAGGGTTTATGTTTAAGTGATTATTACTCTAAATCCCAACCATTTTTATATGTCCTAATTGGATTTTTTTTTTTTGTTTTGTTTGTTTGTTTTTGTTTTAATCAAGTGATAAAATGGAAGAATACCAACTCAAAATGAAGGCTTTAGCTGATAAGCTAATAAGCTTAATCTTCAAGTTTCTTGGCATCTCGGATGAAGAGATGGTGAAGAAGTTGTCTTACATCGACCCGGCCACCGGAAAACCCCACTTGGCTTTGCGCTTGAACTCGTTTCCTCCATGCCCTGAACCAAGCAAAGTCATTGGCCTCGCGGCCCACACTGACACCTCCCTCTTCACCATGCTTCACCAGGCACGCAGAGAGGGGCTACAGATCTTGAACGAGAAAGATGGCTGGCTTCCGCTGGCTCCAAGGAGCGACGCTCTCATTATTAACATCGGCGATTTCCTCCAAATTATATCGAACGGGCGGTTTCATAGCGTTCCTCACCGGGTGATGATACGAGAGACTGAGAAGACTACGATGTCGATGGCATATTTCTTTCATCCACCAGGTCATTTATACGTAGCACCTTATTGTAAGCCATTGAGTGAAACTCTACAGACTCCCATTTATAAAGGAGTGAACGTGAAAGAATATTTCATCATCAAGGCTAAAGCCTCGGGGAAGGGAATTGCTGCCCTAACAATATGATGTTTCATATTGAAAACCTCTTGTTTGCTTCACTTTCAGAAGGGTTTCCAAAAATAAGTTGTTAAACTGTTCATGTGGGGGCAGCTTTTAAATGGTCTAGTTTGATGATCATACACAGCCATGCAATAAATATGGAAACTTGCATGTAATATTCTCGTCGGTGTGTGTGTTTGTTTTAATTTCTTTTTTTTAATTTTCTGTCAGTTCCATGCATGTTCAAATCCCTTCTCTCTAACAGCCA